AAAATGAAATCAGGTTAGGCTAGAACTCAATTAGCATAATATGCATCACATAGCATAAAATAATACTGCTACAGAGAGTAACTACCTTAGAGAATTCAACCGTATTTGTCAGTATTGTAGGGAGAAGAAACTTTTAAATAAAACTCATATTTTGTAATGGCATTCAGGAAAAGTTGTATAAGCTCCTCTTTCTCTATATCCACCATTGTTGACTGATTTAATGACAGGATATAATGTTGATCATGTTGTAAATTAAAACTTAGTCATTGGTTGGTCATTTCTCAACTTGGGGAACAGTCGTGAATCAACAGACGAAGTACCAGAAATTGACAAGGAATCAGCACATGATTCAGCTAAGCTATTTGGCCCAATTGGGGTTCAACAATCTAAAGAATTGGATGTAAATGATGCATTGTAGACTGTAGTAAGCACTAGAACAGCTGCAATGTCAGGTAAAATAGTTAAAGAAATTGAATTAAAAAATACTTCTGAGCAATTTTTTTTAACTTTTTCATATCTTTTGATATTGTTTTTATATTTATTGAAACTGCAACCTTTCCAATGCTTAATTTGATTTTTACTTGTAGGAAAACCAAATCTTTCAAAAATATTTTTTTCTTTTTTTGTAGCTGAAAATCCATTTTGAATATACTAATCAATAACATGTCCTTTTAAACATAGCTGATAAAAAGTCAAATTTTCAGAAAGAGGCAGTTCGCTGTTTTGAGACTAATCAAAAGTTGCACTTTTGCATTTTCTTTTTGACATTTTATAACTTGAATTGCTGCACATAAAATCTAAAAACGAAAATGTCTTTTTTCACATAAAATATAACAATAAAGCTTACATTAACATGTCAAAGATATTTACATCAAAATTTCTGCGACGAAAGGTGGTCTGTCCTTTTTTTTATAAAATTTAAATTTTTTTTAAAAAACATTATTAAATTTTTTTTCAAAATATAATCTTTTTGATAAATGTTATAAATATTAAGTTCGTTATTCTAAAACTGCCCAAAATTAATTAAACAAACAAAAAACATGCAGCTGACTTTTTTAACTTGACAAACAGTAAGCAGTAGATTAAAATGATTACTAATACAAAGTCTAAACAAATACCAAATTACTCTTATTTCTCAAAGTTAACAAACATATGTCTCTTGTAACACCGTCAAAGTAAATAAGTTTTTTAAACCAATCAAGTTTTAATAAATTATCACGTGATCAGCAAAACTTTTAATAATAAAACAAAGTTTAAAATGCGAGAAATTCTTTATTTCACCGAAACACCTGATATGCTTGATGACTCTTGAAAACAATTTGCGCAAAACAGATTTACTTCAAATTTTAAACATCAGCTAATAAATAAATTATCTAAAGGACCTTTTAATTTCAAGAAGGATCCGCTATAACAATGTAAGTCCTCATTGTTTTTAAGGGCTGAAGCACCTTAAAAACAGTGAGGACTTACATTGTAACATAACAATTTTTTTTATTTTTGACAATAAAAATAAAATATAAGAATATATAGCTTAACCTTTTTACTAAACGACTACCAATTTTTGTTCAATTGGGTTTATAAATAGCGGCACAATATTGTTTGGCTTATATAGTGTTTTCGCAAAGTAAAAAAGATAGGTCACAGTTTTTTACTTACTTTTTTACGTCAAATTACGGATATTCGCACGTACCTGCCTAAACATCCTCAACCTAAATGAGCCGTCAATGCAATACGTGAAAAAAACCCAGCAAACTGTTAAAGCAAAGTATGTTTTTATTAATGTCAACTGAACTCAGAGCAACAACTATAGACATATTTTAGGTCAAGCACAAATTAAAAATGTTCTATGATTGATGGGAATGTTTCCACTGTTCTTTCTCCATTAAGTGATTTTTATCAAGTTTGCAATATATGCGCATTAAATCTTCAAAAAATTAATGACTTAGTAATTGCGTACGGTACACAAACAAATCAAATGTCTATGGACCTTGGAATTTCGACTTTCCATCTTTGGATTTTTTCTTTCATATGGCTGATACATATTAAACAGAAAAGAAGACAAGAATAAAATGATTTTGGATTTTTTTTTATGCAAACACTTTTGTAAAGAGAAAAAAATCCAGGATTGGAATTTCAGTAAAAAATTAAAGATGCACTCAGACTCATTGTTGATGCACCAAAAATTGGTGCTTTTGGTACGTCGAATCATAAAAACACTGCGGAAAAGACATATAGAATCCGTGTAAAAAATTGCTAAAACACTTGGAATTGATAAGGATCTTTTAATAAGACTTTTTATTATTCTATTTGTATTGTTCTGTAAGCACTCAATTAATCCAGATAAACCAGGTTTATATTGCAAAGATGCATTTGTAGACATATGTAGCACATTGTAAATGGTATGCTGTGTCTACTAAATTGCACAAGATGATTGTCCGTTCCCACCACATTGTATGAGGCAAACCAGTTCCAATACGCATCCTATCTGAAATAGACCGGGAAAATCAAAACAAAGGTGTTTTGGTTTTCTCGTTTTTCTTTTCAAGATTTTCCAAGAAAAAATAATAATGAAAATGTAATGCGAAGATTCATCTGCTCATTAGCCCTCTGCTATTTATATGAGGCGGTGTTCTGAGTCAAAGAAGGAACTTGCTCTTTTAGCATTATGTATAGACTTTTTTTTGTAGATTTTTCAATATGAACTATTCTCTTTATTTGTTATTACTATTTGTAGTATTGATAATATGGATCTCAAATGGAATTCAATTAATTTAAAAAGACTGTAAAAATCTGCTCGTTTACAATAACGCAATTGTTTTTTTGGTATGGATTTGACACCTGTTTTATTGTTGTTTTTTTAAAAACTCAATCACTTTATAATAATGTATTTTTATTATACTAAATGCTTGATAGTTACGTATTTTTAAAGATAGAAGTTTAAAAAAAAACAAAAACTAACGAATATTAAAGTAAGTTTATTTTAAACTATAATCTCGGTGTAAAATTAAAAATAATGTCTTGGTAATTATAAAGCATGTGTCTTTGATAATTTTGTTTATTGTTTGACCAGAAAGTCAAACTACTGATATCAGTATCACGGAAAAAAGTTCTATAATGTAGCTCTAAAAATAATGTAAACGCAAAAAGCATGTCACGTGTTATTTCATGTGTATTTGGAGTGTTATTGCGCAACTATGTCACATGTTATTTTATGTGTCCTTGTTTTTATTCTTAATTTTTGTGTATTTACCAAATATCATTGAAAAAAATTAATTAATTTAAATATTGTTATGTAAATTGTGTTGTTTGTTTTGTATACTTTTTGTCCTTCTGTCTTATATTATGTTTAATTTTTGTTTTTGTCATGTGATCGTTGTGTTCTGCACCTATATGATAACTTTTCATCCATCAAAAATGTGTCATACTTGCTGGGAACTCTTTATAGTAAATAGAATTTTTAAAACTAAATAAGTAATACGTATCACATGTTTATCATTCGTTGTTTTTTTTTGTCCTTGGTTTTGTGATATTGTCGTGTCCTTCAAAGGTAATGCATCCAACGTTACAATGATAGTTTATGTTGACCTCGGTATAACGAACATTCAACAAAATTAATAGCTTTTTAGCTTTATAGTTTTTAGATAATAACTAGTGGCGCATAAATTTATTTAAAAAAAAGACCTTAAAGTATCCTATGGACATATTTTTTTTTTTTTTTTGTATAACAAATTGTGTCATTTTACTTTTTTAAGTAAAAAATTTGTATAACAAATCCTTTAACGCACTATATGATACTCCAGAGTATCCATTTTGTAATGTAAAAAAAAGAATTACTCATTACGAACTTAAAAATAAAAAAGAAAAGAAATAAAAAGCCAATAAAAACGAAAAACAGTTTACAAAAACAAATTTACTCCTTATAAACGTTTTTTTAAACGTAAAATAAAATAATACTTGCCTTAGTTTTTAGTAAAGCAATTTCAATTTTAAATTTCATTAACCAATCAAAAGAAATCATTTTTAACGTTAGCTACCGTGTAATGGTTAGCCACAGCAGTCAATAAAAAAATTTACTAGTCACAAAACCTTGTAACCGTTTGAAAAACAACAAAATTGCTGTACGTATTTTAAGCAACAAAGTTTGTTGTAATATATAATAAGCCACAACACTTCTTCTATCTGTTTTAAAGCCACACAACTGGCGGTACTAATTTGCAAGCCATAAAACTTGTGGTGCCTAATTTGTAAGTCAAAAAACGTGCGCTACCCGAAATTCAAAATTCAGAAATGTATATACAAATGAAAAAGTATAAATTTATTAACATATTAGTCTTATAATAATTTGGAAGATTATGTTCATTGCGCGTACAAAAGACCAAATATAAACCAAAATTGTTTGTTCGAATATGACGGAACAAAATGTTTTCGTCTATGTTAGGTTCAGATTGGATTTACTGACGTAGGTTCAAAATTAAACGTGCTATTAACATCCAAATTTGACCTCCTAATGTGCGTCCATATATGAAATTAGAAATTTCTTTGCAAACTAGAATTTAAAATTGGAAGTACAAATTTGACTTTTTTGAAAACTTAGAGAAAAACGTTCTTTTCAAAATACAAAGTGTCTAAAAATTGTTCTAACTCAATTTTTTTGAGTTGTGAACGTAGAACAAAATAGTTCTAACCTCTCGATTTTGCGCCAATATTTGTGCAATATAGGCACGCTTGAATTGGCTAAAAATAGTCAATTCCAGAGATATTGGTGTGTTTATTCATAATTATTTGTTAAGAGATATTTTGCCTAAGGAACAAAATTATTCCATTTTAAGAAACTTTACTCTCTTTTTAGGATATACTTTTCATTATTTTTTTCTCGAGCTAGGCTTTATGTTAGAACATCGTAGATGATCTCTACGTAACTGTTTTAGATGTTTTGTTTTAACGGTATCGGCAGGAATGTTTATAAGAACGTTTAGTATATTGCAAATTGCGAAAAGTTGATATTTTGCATATATTTTGTTATTTTTCTATTAGCTTTGATACATAAATCATCGGAATATACAGTAATTTCTTTAAAATAAAAAACTAAACAGAATGCAATGCGAAAGATGTATTTTAAAATAAAAAATACAAATTCAAAACATCAAAAATTACATACTAAAAAAACTATCAAAACTACAAATAAAAAGAAATTTGAAATAAAAAATCAAGTCGTTGACATATATTAATAATTTAACCGAAACGCCTTTTTTCGTATGGCGTCCTTTTTCACTTCCTTTTTGCCATCTAAATAAAGAAAAAAGGAATAAAAACGATAAAAACAAACAATTCAATATAAAACCGATGCAGCAGTCGTTCAAGCTTTCGTGTAAAAGCTTCAGGATTTACCTAATAAAAGAGTGTTACACAAAAACGCAGAAAACTTACCTAAATATCCATTAATGACATTGAACATTTTAATGGAGCCATCCTGAGCTTCATACCACGGATCTCCTGCGTAAACTTTGACATTTGTAAATACTTGTGGGTTGAAGTTTTGTACAGTATATACATTTTCGTTATTGATATATAAAGTAAAAGAAGCTCTTCCCGATTCAGCGTGTTGACGTATATGAATATTTATCCACTCGCCTCGTTGAAGTGGTTTGGAATTAAAAAATTCATTTTTATTATTGTTTATTGCAAAACCAACGTGTAACATTTGATTAGAAATCCAAATGCCAGGAATTCGATCACCGTATTTCGAATTATCCTCTCCTATAGTCAAATGAATGACACTTCTAAATCCATTTGAAAAACTGTTGAGTTTTAAATCGAAATAAATATCAAATGATTGTTCTAATTTTGACAAAACCGCAACCAAGTTATTTTTTTTCAGTGTCTCTTCAACTTCATTATTTACAAAATCTAAAGTAAAGAAAAAAACCACCTTTTAAGTATCTTTATAATAAATTTAATTAGAAGTAAACAGTCAAAAACAAAAAAGGTTTCCTAAAAATATTATCATTCAGCTTGCAAAGTTTAAATAATTTTGATAAATCTTACATTTTGACTTCAGTACAGCGTTCGCTAAAGATTCACCTAAAATAACGTGCAAAAATTAACATCCATTTGAGTTCAGTTAGACAATTCATTAAAAGTAAAAGTGTAAAAAATGAAAGTTCTGTATATAAAATTAGTTCAGATATAAAAGTAATAACCAATAGTGCATTTAAAAGTTTTACGTTGTACATTTTCAATTACTAAAATACAAATCGAAAAAACAGACTCTTTGATACGCCTGATTTAAATGCGTTAGACAAAAATAGTAAAAAAGAGTATTAAAAAGAGTAATACCAGGCTCCCCGTTTACAAGAATGAGATTTTTTATCGATCCATCTTGAGATGGATACCACGGATCTGAAGCAAAAACTTTGACGTTTTCAAATTTTTGGGGTTTGGCATTATTTTCAGAAAATGCGTTTGTTCCATTTACGTCAATTGTGAAAACATATTTGTCATCAACACGTTGCTGACTAATAACAACGTTTGTCCACACATTGAGGGGAAGTGCATCAATATTGATTTGTCTATTCCTATTTCCATTTATCGGTGCAGTAATGTGAAAACCCCTATAGTTAGGTTCATAGGGTCGTAACCAAAGTGCAGGAGTTCTGTCTCCGTATTCACTGATATCATTACCAACTGTGAAATGAAGAACACTATGAAAACCATATGAGTATGACTTGGGTTTTAAATCAAACGAAATCTTGTAGGACATAGCTAATACAGGAATGGTGGCTACTAATTCCGCTGATTTTAAACTTGTTTCGTAATCTCTAATCAGCTCATCTGAAAAAGATACATAAAAAGGCAAATTTAAAAACTTAAACTAAAAAACAAACTGAAACAACAACAAAACCTGTTTAAAACAAAAATCATACTTTTTAAATAAAAAAAATTGTATTATTGTGTAAAGCAACATACTAAATATCTGAAAGATTGCGAGGTTAGTATTATCTTTTTCTATTTCCACTGATTGGGTTAACTCAAAATAATGTTTTTCTACTCTATTAAAACTTGAGTTGTTATCAAAAAAAAGTTGGCAAGAAAACAGAAGTAATAAAAAAATTTTTATATGCCGTGTCCAAGAAGCTTCAATTTTTTAAATCGATTTATCTCCAAACTCAAAAATGTGGAGCAACCGTGCGAGATGCTATTTATTTCTTAGGTTTATTTGCTGGTATTATTTGAAACCGGTAAAAGTGTTTTAAGTTTTAATATAACAGGTATGCATACATGTTCTAGATTGATATGGATTTTTTTTAAACTTATTTAGTTAATAAAAAAAATTTATTTGTAATAAAAAAAAAAAAAAAAAAAATTTGATACCTAAACCATGTGTTACCACGAATAGAAAAACAACACCAAGAACCACTTTCTAAGAAAAAAAAACGTTCTTTGTTAAGTAAGTCAAAGTCATTTTGAAATACTAAAAAGAAATATAGTAAAAATGCAAAAAGAGAATAAATAGTACCATTTTATTATCTATTATCTGTATCGCGATATTCGTTTTTTCTCAGCAGATGGTTTGTTAAATTTGCATAGGTTGACCAAATTACGCGTCTTTATATAGAGAGCAAGATTACTGGCGTGTGACTAATCAAATGCTCCAAACAATTGCTTTTCAAATTTGATTTGCAATTTTATCTTATATTTTATTAATAAATAATTATTTAATAACCCTTTGACGTAAACCTAAAAACGATAACATCTCATTTTAAACATATCTATGCAATTCTATTAATTGAGTTGAGCCCTTTTAAACCAGGTCATTTATAAAGTGATACCCCATCAAATCCTTTCTAAATGATGAACATAGTTTTGACATTTTAATAATAAGCTCATATGATAGGCAATTTGGATTAAAAACATTAAAAGTTTGTTTTCCATTTACTTTTTGAACTTTCGATAAATTAATTAAAAAAAATTTATATAGGGGTGACAAAAACATTTACACTTCTTGAGCGCTTTTTTTCTGTTTTCGATTTTTGCGAAACTTTGTCTGATTGTAAACATTATACTTCTTGTAAAGTAGATATGCAAACCCCTTCAATGTTGTTCTATGTTCTGGGAAGTGACGTTTTATACGACATAAATGCTGCTCTATTTTTCTTGCTTGTTCATTTTGAGGCCGGAAAAAGTTTATTTTATTTTTTCAAGGTAAAAGAAGTTGCTATATATTTTGTGTGAACTATTAGAGTGACGGTGTTTCATTAAAGTCGAGGTAATATTGTTGAGGCAAAATTTTATTTAGTATGAACAATTATAAAAATTTGATGTTTTTTTACTAAGTACACTAAAAGTTTTTACTAGAATGTCATTAAAAGTCCGAAACGGATTTATTTTGTTTTTTATTAGTTATTAACACCTTGAATTTTTTTGCTTCCCTTAAAACAGTTTTGCGTAAGTCATGCTGAAATCATGTCGAGAGCTTACATTGTTTAATGTTGTAATTAAAACAATTTAGCATTTGTTGCAATGAGACACCACATTTTCTGAAATTGTGTTTACTTTTGAATTTGTCTTTACCAGATAAAAATCCGTTAACTTCGATTTTATATAGCAGATAATGTATTTGCAAATTTTTGATCTTGCAATGGTGGCGTAAAAAATGATACTTTTATGCAAAGCGTTTGTATGTTGTGTAACTTTAGTTTAAGTTGTTGGTAGTTTTTAAAATGTCATAAAATTTTATGAAATTTTAAAAATTTTAAAAATTAAAGACATTTTAATGCAGTAGACACTTTAGTGCAGTAGAAAAAAGAAAACTTTCTTTTGATTCAAATCTAGATAATTATCAAAAATTTCTATAAATAGACAAACAACGCCTGCATTTTAGCCATATGTCTTCTTTTAATTTAGAATTTAAATTAAGAAAAACAGATAACAAGCGATTTAGATAGCTATGCAGATTTACTTGCGCATATAAAATTTAAACACTTGGCAAATATTCATCAACTACATACAAGCATCACTAATTTCTGGTTAAAACTTGGAAAAGCTTATATGTTTATATTTGCTGGTACGTATGCTACCTTGGAAATTTAAAAATTAACCGTTTTAATAAAACCATACAAATTAAAACGAACAGTAAGAAAAAAAAAGGAGAGAGAGAAAGAGCGGGAGGGCAAGACGGAGAACGTATTGAAAATCATTGAGTTTTTGAAAAACTCTCAGTCATGAAGCAGTAATGCTTTGTCAGCATGTTTGTTTTATTGTAATGAATAAATCCCTGCATGAACCTCTAGTTTGCAAAGAGTAAACTTTGCAACAAAATAACCATGTAAGTTTCAAAAAGTTTGTCGTCTGGTCACGGAAACGGCGAAAGATAACTTGTTATGCGTTTTCTGTCTTCCATTTTCAACTCGAAGACACAAACCGCATAACAAGTTATTTTTCCCCGATTCCGTGACCAGACGACACCCTTGTGGGCACAGGACGTAAAAAAGGCGTCCTTAGGACGTTCAAATCGCGTCCGTCCGTCCCATTAAAATTGTAAATGTCTTTTGAACGTCCTAATAATTTTTTCGTCCAAAAAATATCCAGAATGCTTTATTAAATAATAAAAAAGCGCTAAAACTTCATAAAATTTTTAAGTAACGCATTTTTAATAAAGTTTTTTTTCAATTATAAAAGAAGTCTTTTTACGACAACTAATAGACACGTTCCATCTAATTTTTGTTTTTGTTATCTATTGAAAATTGTGGTAATATTGATACAGTTAATGAAATTTTTACAGATAATGAAAGAAACGGTTTAAAACTGAATATATCCTATACTATGTATATATATACTTGATATACTATTAGTATAGTATTGCTATATCAAGAACCAAGTTCTAACAATAAGATTTAGACATCTCATGCAGAATCGAATTTTTCAATAGGGAAACCTGTTAATGATCATGGAACAATTATACTAATAATTCTTTGAATTCAATGTCTTTACTCGACAACATTATGCTATTTTATAATGGAACCAGTACATTAGTTAATGATCTTCTTGAAATATTGCCAAATTAAGGTTTGGAACTTCCCAAAGATTCAAGGAGAATTTTAAAAGCACCTTATGAAAAGCGACTTATAGACAGGTTCTTGCTAATTTATATATATTTTTAAACATTTAATTACTTAAGAATCGTATTAATATTGATACATATATTGAAATTGATACAGATATTGAAATAAATAGTTTAAAACTGGGTATACTATATATATATATGATATACTATATATATATATATATATATATATATATATATATATATATATATATATATATATATATATATATATATATATATATATATATATATATATATATATATATATATATATATATATATATATATATATATATATATATATATATATATATCACTTGACATAGTATTTCAAGTATAATAATTGATATACTATATCAAGAACCAAGTTCTGACTGTTTGACATCGCAGAATCTCATGTATAGTCATATTTTTCAAAAGGAAAACCTATTAATAATACAGAGAGTTTATGGTGATAATTCAATATAATTCAATATCTTTAATTAACAACTTTTAGATTGTTCTATTCAAAATAATTGGACCATTACATTAGTTAATAAACTTTTTGAAATATTACAATATCAAGTTTTGGAGCTTTGCTAATAACCAATTACTTAACTTTAGTAATTAGTTATTAGTGAAGTTCAAAAGTTTTGACTAAAGAATAAGTCTAATTGAAAAAATTAAACCAGTCATAACAGTTATATAAGAGACAGGAGGGTAGAAAATTTCCTTTACTCTAAAGGAAATTTTCTACACACCTGTCTCTTATATAACTGTATTAACATATGAATAACCACTATATCACATGTTGGAA